CATCTAATTATTTAACAATTACATAAACATTACATCATTAATTATTTAATTAACCAAAAAAATTACATCTTTATTAATAACAAATTAATTATTAAACAAAACTATTAAATATAAACTAGGCAAACGTGCATTGCATGTTACTTGCATCTAGTAATAATACAGATGGAAAAATATTTATCACACCTTCCTGCATCTGTAAGTTTTTGTCCTCCGCGCACTTCTCCATCTTCGACCCTCGCGGTCTTTATTCTATGGTGATTTTTTTTTTTCCCTCTTTCCACTTGCCCAGGTAGGTGTTAATTTTTGCTTATTTTTGTTTCGTTTTTCTTGATTGGGGTTTGGCTAGCCATTGCATTTTTTGTTGCTTACTTTGTATTTGTAATATCTATAGTAACATCAAACTAATTTATATTCGTCCTACTTTGGTTAAAGAGCAAAAGACTTGGTCAATAACATAAAGAAAAGTCTCGCATTTGTTGTACTGGTGAATAATGCACTTTACTATGCATTTTTCTGTGTTTTGGTTCCAAGAAAATTGGGTCAAATTATTGCCCGAATATAATCCAGTGAGATTGCACTCCAGGTGTTTGTGGAAATGTGTGAAACACATGCTAATGTTGGTGATGGCTTGGGGTAAGGATCGACTTATCTATAACTCTTGATGCAATAATAATGCAGAATGAAAAAGGAAGATGGTCATTTAAATTTAGTTTATTTGTATGGATTGGTGACTGCTAATTTTTTAATTTGTTAGAAAACTACCAGTAGTGATGAAAATCTGGGACCCTAAATCCACCATTAGTATCACATTTATTGTAGTGAACTTACAGTGAGTTTCATTGTAATCTCAAATTCAGGTTTTGTTCAAACTATTGTAACTGGAAAAAGGTTGTACCAGTTTTCTGTTAGTTACATGATCAATTTCGATATAGATTGTAAGCTAAAACCAAGAACTCTGGAAGTGTATGCCTGGAAGGTGGTGTCTCTAAGTCTACATAATTATATTTGCTTCTAATTTCTCGAGATACATATAAGGCTTCAAAATTTGATTCTACAATAGCAAATGGTACAAATCCCAATATAGAGCTAGGAAGTATTTATGTGAATTAGTTAACTGTTAGAGCACCAAGATAATAAAAATTAATATACACTCATCTTGCTTCCAACTGGGTAATGGTTATTTCATTGGATGAACAACTAGTTATACTTTTACCTACAGAGACATCTCTTTCTGCGAAAAAACCAGGCTGATTTGCCTGAGGCAACGCAGCATCATTTCCCAACATTGCAACCACTGAAAACATGCTCGGCCTATCATCTGGACATTGTTGCACACACAAAAGACCCACATGGATTAATCGTAGAACTTCAAGTAGATTAGCTGTCTCACTTAGACACTCATCAATTAGTTCCAATGACCTTTCTTCCTTGTGAAGTGTCCATGCCTGTATGAATTTAATCAAAGTAATATATCTTTTTAGCCAAGTTAATTATCATTTTACCCGAGTTAGTATAAAGAGAATAAATATAGGCATCTCCAAGAAAATAATTACATGTCCAAGAAGGTTGAGATGTTGATCTTCATGAGAAAATCCACTATTTCTCTTGCCGGTCAAAATTTCTAGCACCAGAACGCCAAAGCTAAATACATCTGATTTTTGTGAGAACCGTCCATGCACTGCATATTCTGGTGACATGTAGCCACTGCATGGAAGTATTAGCCAACAAATAATGTTAAGAACAATGGAAGTATATTAATTATATGCTGTGCCATTGAGATTCTTACTATGTTCCAACTACTCTGTTAGTCTTATCTTCGGTTTCATTCCCTCCGAAACTTCTAGCAATGCCAAAGTCTGATATTTTAGGATTCATGTCAGTATCTAGCAATATGTTGCTCGCTTTGAGGTCTCTATGAATAATTCTCATCCGAGAATCTTGATGAATATACATCAGTCCTCTAGCCACTCCATTAACAATTTGGAGGCGCTTAGGCCAATCAAGCAATGCACTTCTGGTTTGATCTGCCAAAATGTTGTGCTCGTTAATATTCCTCATCCAATTGTAGTTGAATGCTAAACATTAGAAATTAATTCCAAAATATCATCAACTATATACTCTGGAAAATAACTATATCGCAAAATTTTAAATGGAGCAAACGAACAATGCTTTCCTATGTTTATGCAATCAACTAGCATTCAATTCTGAACCAGCATTAATCTCCGATTCACTGCATGTTTTTTAAGTTATCCCTGACCATATGGCTTGAACAATGACGTAGAAATTCTTTGTGGCTATATGTTGAATGGTAAGAATTCTTTGTGGCTATATGTTGAATGGTAAGTTGGAGCTTATTGTACTAGAATTAGAAATCCTTACCAAATAAAATCAAGTCCAGGCTTTTGTTGGGCATGTATTCATAAATGAGCATCTTTTCTTCTCCTTCTATGCAGCATCCTAGAAGCTTCACAAGATTTCGATGCTGAAGTTTAGCGATACAGATAACTTCATTCTTGAATTCATCAAGTCCTTGCATGGAAGTTTTTGACAACCTTTTCACAGCAACTTCTTGTCCATCTTCCAGAGTTCCCTAATATCAGAATGTGTTCATTTGAGAAGGTATTAATTTAATGAGCTTGAAGTAGCACTGGATTTTTTTCAGCTGAAATTCATCTGTTACACTCTTTTAATACGTTTCACAGGCTAACCTTTATGTTATGTGAATTGAAGTCGAGCATTTCATCTCTTATACAAGAGAGAGGAATATTTGAACATTGCTACTGATATATGCATGTATGATGCTCCATGTGCAAAGTGTTTATCACCTTTTAAAAAATTTTACAAAATTTTGAAGAAGACCACTTTTTTCAGTTGTTCATTCTTGTTGAATTGTACCTATGGAGCAAGTCTAATTTTCAGAAGACACGCAATATTGATCTTCTGCAAAAGTTATATAAGAAAATAAAATATAAATAAATAAAATCACATTTTTTTCTGGGTTTAGTGTCTGTTGCTTATTCACTGTTTTAAATTTTTATTTTGTGCACATGTTTCCACTCTGAGGCATTGCAGCTTTAATTAAAGTTCACTAGTCATATAATCCTTCTGAAACAAGAGGATTTTATATGATCTAAGTATATAAAGGTCTCTGATTTCCTCGACGTACTGTAGTATTCAATTTTCACCTTATAAACAGGCCCGTATCCACCTTGTCCAAGCTTGTTGTTGGCTGAAAAGTTATTGGTGGCTTTTGAAATTGTAGATGTGCGGAACAATGGCAGCTCATAATCTTTGTTATGGCTTTCACTACGACTCCCTGAAACATGAGTAATGTAAGCATGTAATTTAGCAGAGAGAAGTTGAAAAGTGAAAGTATTCTAGACCTAGTATTAGTTAATCTTTCACCATAAAATGGCACAAAGTTACACACCTTCTGTTCTCCATTTTGTGCAATTTTTCTTCCTTTTTCGATAATATAGCATCAAGCTCAGGCCCAGCAGAACCACCCCCATTAATGATGTCAAACTCGATATCAATATTTTTCTTCCCTTTCCTTTAGAATCTGCAGAAAGTTCAATCCAAAAGTACTGATAGTCTTTCATAATGATAGATATCGTTCTCCTCCGTCTTTTTGTTTTAAGTGGTCATTATCAGATTGCTCTTACGTTTATATAAACATTTTTTCAAAAAATCGAATCCAGTTTTCAATACGGCCATTATTTCTCATATCATATGATGTCAGGCAAAAGATAAACATGTTATTTACCATGCTTATATAAAAAGTTTGCTAATTGTCAGAATAATAACAGAATAAGGTCATTGATAGCATAGTGCACTGAATTATTCATTGATGGTTTAGCATATTCTTACCCAATTCAGAAGAAGCCATTCTAACGTAAATATCTTGTCCCTGTGAAGATAGATCTCTGATGTCAATCAAGTCTTCATACCAAAACAAGCATCCACTTCCTTCTTTACTGATATCTAACTGTGTATACGCCATACAAGAGCATTCCTTTAAGCACTCCACTTTGCATTCTTCAAGAGTCATACTCTTGTTATACTTGGAGTTTCGGGAATCTGGTAATTTAATTCCAGAATACTTCAAAAATACATCACCCTTTGAACAATTTAAGGGTCTCCTTCGGTTGCAACCATTCGACCAATCTGACCTAATCCAACCTTCTGGATCTCTTGGCTCAAATTTATCAAGACATACACATGCAGGAGTATTTGCAATATTGCAACTACCATAAGCACCACACAATTTGTAAGTATCACAATTATCTGCTGGAAAATTGACGTAAGGGATCCAGTCATGGATCCTATCGACCCATGTCCAGCGTTGTATAATACCAGTCTCAGTCAAAATAACCCTTGAAATAACTGAACTGTCAACAGCCTCTAGCCTATGGTAAGCCATGTCCTTGTTCATGATAAATACAAATCTGAAATTCATATCCTGCCCTGCATTTGTTTGCCCACTAAAGCCAAGACCATTCCAGGGCCCCATTCTACATAGAGTAGTTGTACCTCTTTTTATGACTAGCTGTGGATATCCAGTTGGATCCAAATGAAATGTAACATACCCTTTAGCTGGATCGTCAATTGTCTTCCACGACGACAGGTAGGTCTCTATACCTGTTACAAAGTTCCAACCAGTATTCATGCCTGGTAGATACGTATCGCTTGGATAAACAAAACTCTGCCAAAGAAAATTATCTGGACGATCATCATTTGCTTCTCTAAGGACAAGATTTCCCGAGTCCAGCAATTGTAAAACTGGTGTCCGAGCAACTCTTGATGCATTGGAAGACCATATGATGTTATTAGTTTCATTCAGAACTACCAAGATACCTGGCTCCATGACCTTCAAGATGCCTGATGTACTTCTTACTGGAATTTCTCTGTTGGCTACCCAAACTGCAGAGCTATTAGGTATCTTGTGGTACCTAATACCCACATACCGATTATTGGAGTTGCCTGGGCTGAAAAACCCCAGTTCAAATCTTCCCCCTGATGAAACCAGGGTGTCACCATCTCTAAGAATCTCTGTTGTATTAATAATATCTATTGCAGTTGAAATCTTTAGGATGGAAAGTAAAAATGATAGGAGAAGAAGAAAAGGTACATGTTTAATTGGTTTCTTCATGGTACTTTTCTTTTGCCTTTGTGTTCTTCGGCATTCAATCCAGAGTACGGTGGATTTGAACTAATCTATTTTGGCTTCTAAAATAATTTCAGACTTCTTCGTTGATTGACATGAGTTGTTTACCTTGAGTGTATAATTGGCCAGAAACAGAGACAATGAATATAATAATAATGACTTAGAATGCCTAGTTTGACAATTGTGTTCTATGAATTGGAGTATTGCTTGTTATTCACACTGTTCAACAGTACCATCAATTCCATTTCTTCTAGGCTTGCTATTTCTTATAGAAATTAAAATTCATTTTCACCCTTTTTGTATGTTTGATTGACTAAGCTCCTATTTGAATTATATTAAAATTATAATATTCATTCTTCTACTTATTTTTAACCACACATTTTTTAATAAAATAATATTTTTCATCACATCAATAACCTTTTCTTATTTTTCAACCACACATTCTCCATCAATCTACTATTTCAAAATACATTCTTCCAAAAAAATGTGGCTCAAACACACCCTAAATTTTTCATGGAATTAGTTTTTCACATTTTCTTGATTTTTGAAGAAAAGTTTTTTCTCATGAATTTGGTGGGAAAAACTTTTCTAGTCATTTTTTTTGGCAATTGAAACAAATTCTATTCCTAATTGTAATAGATTATATCCCTTTAATGGACAATTTTCATGAAAAACAAAGTTAAACGAATACCAAAAGATCCAAAATTTCAATATTTTTCAAGTGAAAAATTACACCAATCAATCACAATTAATTAATAATTTAAAGTAAAAAAAAGTTCTAGGCAATTCAATTATTTAAAATTTATTTTCTTTCCACCCAAATTTTATTCTTGTAATCAAACATACCCTAAAATTTGTATGTTTTCCTTGTAGAATGTTCTACTTTAAAACTTGTTGGGGGAAAAAAAACACATACACACACAACTCGACTGCATCCAATTGACCTCATCGGGTTTGGTATTTTGGTTTCAAACTAAAAGGAAGAGAATTTGTCTTTTCTTGCATCAATAAGTCTTGGCGGCCCCATTATACGCACGAGTACAGCGGAAAATTAAAATATCAAGAAGTTGGGATTACTATTTCTCAGCACTTTCAAACTCGGCTTCCGTAGTTAATAAAGTAACGATTAGCTACTTCTTTGACAATCATGAGACAATTCTTAAACCTAATATTAAAACATATTGAGAAGTACTCTAATCATTATCATAAGGCTGAACAACTTTGAATTTGCTCCTTCATGTAAAATAACATGTAAATAGAGGTACGTTGCAAGTATGAAATTGTTCTTTTTGCAGCCAACAAATGAATCTCCTTTGGGTGGTCCATGTGGGTGTTGATAAAACTTATAGCACTCGTTATATCAGGTCTAGTAACTGTAAATCAAATCACCTACGTGTGAGACATCATAAGCATTTTCCCTCCTCGATTTTTATAAAAAGTATGCTTATACGTACGTGTTTGAAACTTTCTTCAAGTATTATCTTATCTAAACTATCAAGACAATAAATTTCTGCTTCGAGAGCGACGACGATATACTTTTTTCCAAAATTTTGGTTTATATAAATTTAATGGAACTTATAATATTGATGTCATATCGTACCGAATGATAATTTAACACCAATTAGGTTGTGCGGCAATATTCAAGGGAATACGTCACTAGTTTAAAGATATTGGAGAGTTCGAAATTTTACGAGAAATAAGGAAAGAAGAAAATTATCTTTCCTTTTCTTTTTTTCTTATTCTATTTAGTTGTTTTTAAAGAAATATAATAAATTGATAAGAATATCCCAATGTCCAGATCATGCTGCCAAAATGATACAAGGTGAATATGGTAATTTTCTTGGATTACGTAATTTTTATTGTATTTGCATTTTGACTTTAGATTCCTATTTTTCGTACTCTCTAAAATTAAAGCTCATTTTTAATTGGAATAATGGAGATCACGTGTTGGTCAACTAGGCATTGATCAGAAATTTGGATTGTTTATGTGCAAAAGGAACAGCTTGCACCCAATTTGACCTATTAAAATTGTTTTTAAAAGAAATACAATAAATTGAGAGGATCTCAAAATAAAAAATAGAATAATATCGGAATTGAGTGCTCGAAGTGGTATAGTTTGGGGACTTCAGATAAATATTCTTTTTTCAAAAGATTTACCATTTCTCCAATTTTCAGCAGCTCATTCTCCTCTTTCGGCCTCTCGATCTTTTTTCCTCCACTTGGCCCAGGTTTGGGTTGTTTATTCTTTTTTTTAATTTCATTTTCCTTGATTGGTGTTTGGCTAGTGTTTCGCGTGGTTACTCGCTGACAATTAAAAGAGGATCAGACGATTGTGTAAGGATCAAACCTCTTGGAACAAAGTCCCAAAAAGGGGTGTTTATCGAATATGAAGATTATAGTTTGGATATGAACAAAATGCATCCAAGGGGTGCAAGCACACAAGTACAAGGAGATTGAATTAATTAAAGTTAATTTAAGAAAAAGTAAATTACATATTCTCTGTTTGAGAGTGAATTTTATCGGGGTTTCTTCAGTACTTTTCTCTTTCTTTTATACTCCTTGGGCAGTTCTTAATCATTTGGAAACTGTTTGTAACTACCCATTTCTTTCATAATGGCTGACTGGCCAATAACTACCGTTTGTAACTCTTACCACCACGTTTTCTTCATAACTGCTTGTCACCAACTTTCTCA